GGAACAGCTTCTACCCTGAGGCTGTTAGACTCATGAATCTCTAACTAGAATAATCACTGTGAAAATCATATGTTGCTGCTGATCTGTTTCATGTTGCTGCTGATCTGTTTCAATGTTGATGTGTTCATGCGTGCACATCTGCTCACAGAGACTCATGTTCAATGTTTTATGTTATGAGTGCTTAGTGTATATTTAGTTGATGTTTTTCTTAGTTCATATCTTAGATGTTATTACTGTTTTTCTTTTACATTTTATTGTTGGATGTAACTGGGACCTTGTGTACATAATTTTGCTCCACCACATGTACCACATGAGGTGCGAATGACAATAAAGAATCTCAGACTCTGACTCTGACATGCGCTCCGTGGTTCCTAAATCTGCAGCAACTGATATCGGGTCGGCTGTGAAAACTGCTGTGGGGGGGGCGCTCTCCTCCAGGCAGGAAGAGCGATCAGGAGTTACCCAGAAATAGGTTGGCATCTTTGGGTCTGTCCGCTGAACAGATCCGTTTAGAAAAGTTGGGCCTCCCACATGATGTGGTGTGTACGTTCAGGGCGCATGAGCTGCTTTCACCACAGTGCTGTACACATCAAGTGGACAGTTTTTTCAGCGCTGATGTGCAGAGAAAGGCGTGGGGGCCATCTCATGGCCACTAGGTGGCATGCTGTCCTTTCTATAGCAGCTGATGGACAGAGATCTAGCATTCAGCACAATTAAAACTTATGCTACAGCTATTTCTTCCTGTCACGAGGGCTTCGGTGACAAAACAGTTCTTAATCACCCGTTGATGAAGAGTTTCCTGAAAGGTGTACGGAGACACAGACCGGTGTCATGTCCATTAGCTTCACAGTGAGCCCTAATGATGGTCCTGCATGCTCTGATCAAAGCTCATTCTGAGTTTCTGGATCAGGTTTTACTTAAAGTTCTGTCATTTAAAACAGCCCTGCTGTTAGATCTGACGTCAGTAAAGAGAGTGAGTGATTATCTGCTCTCTCTGTTGCTCCCTCATGTCTCAGAATTCAAGCTGAAGGCAGTTCAGCTGTACTGCGTTTTAACCCTGCTCTGAAAAACATCACAAGCTCATTCAGATAAAGAGTGATAACCTTGGATGGGTTTTATCCTCCTCCTCATAATTCTGAGGAGGAAGCAACATCTCACCTCCTTCTGTCCCATGCGCACATTTTTCATGTTACGTGGTGCACACGGCCGCACTGCGCCGCTTTCAGCGTATGTTGGGTCATGGAGACTTAAAACTAGGCTTAAGACTTTCCTTTTTGATAAATCCTATAGTTAGGGTCGGCTTGGGTTTCCTGAGCTGTCCCTTAGTTATGCTGCTACAGGCTTAGACTGCTGGAGGACAAACTGACCTCACTTTTCACTCTGCTACTGTCTTTACTTACTCTGCTCAACCTGTTTTGTATTTGTAATTATTTTTTCTATCCTTAACATGTGTTTTTTTTGTCTTTCAGATACACCTGGACCTATACATGGACCTGGACCTATACATGGACCTGGACCTATACATGGACCTGGACCTATACATGGACCTACCATTCTGTTCACGTCTGTCTCTCCTTCCTGTCCTCTCAACCAGCCGGTCAAAGCAGATGGTCTCTTGTCCTGAGCCTGGTTCTGCTGGAGGTTTCTTCCTGTTAAAAGGGAGTTTTTCTTTCCACTGTCTCCACTGTGCTTGCTCAGGATGGGAGACTGCAACAAAGCCAAGATTCAACTTGTCTGCTGGATTCCTTAGATAGAGAACTTTACTAATTGGCTTTTATGTGAATGTTTCTGTAAAGTGCCCTGAGACAACTTTGTTGTGATTTGGCGCTATAGAAATAAACTGAATTGAAACTGAATTGTATGTTCGTGCATTACTGGGACAGCTCTTCAGGACGTCCTCTATCCACCCAGCGCCTCTCACACTGGTTGTGTGAGGCTATTTCTGAAGTTTACAGTTCATCTGGACTGGATCCTCCACCAGAGGGTTTTCATCCTCCATGGCTCTGCATGGAGGGATGACAGCGGAGGATGATTGTATGGCGGCTGCCTGGTCATCGCCGTGCTCAATTATTTGTTTTTATCTACGTGATGTTTCTTCCTTCTCCATGACCCATTCTGTTCTCAGGGTTCTGACAGATTGATTATTTGTTTCATGGAGCCTCACTTTTGAGCTCACACTTGCCTGTATGCAGTCGCAGTGTGAAATATTTATTATCAGTCACAAGTTCATGACTGCAGCACGGTGGCGCAACTGGTAGAGCTGCTGCCTCTCAGCGAGCAGGTCTCTGGTTCAAACCCCGGTCCAGGGGCCTTCTGGGTGGAGTTTGCATGTTCTCTCCGTGCATGCGTGGGTTTTCTCCGGGTGCTCCAGTTTCCTCCCACAGACCAAAAACATGCATGTTAGGCTGATTGGTAACTCTAAATTGTCCCTAGGTGTGAGAGAGAGAGTGAATGGTTGTTTGTCTCGTTTGTCTCTATGTGGCCCTGTGATGGACTTGCGACCCATCCAGGGTGTACCCCGCCCCTCGCACAGTGATTGCTGGACATGGGCACCAGCGACCCCCGTGACCCAAAATGGAATAAACGGGTAAAGATAATAGATGGATGGATGGATGGAAGTTCATGACTGCTGATTTTATTGTTATTAATCGGTTCATCCTGAGGAGCTGTTGGCCTGCTCTGTTCATCGTTACACTGTTACAATTCGTATCCTCCGTTGTTCCTATTCACAGCAGCAGGTCTGCTATCTCAGCCTTTTTTCCTCACCAGAGATCTTCTCCGGTGCGCTCCTGTGCATGGAGCATGCAATTACGCAGCGCGTAATTACACATACAGAAGGCTGAGTGATGAAATGTTTTTTTTGTGCATGTAGGTGCTTCATGTTTGTGTCTGAATGGACCCAGTGTGGCAAAGACTACATCCTGCTTCGCCTTTAACCCACCAGCGACAGTCTTAAAGGGCGAAGTCTATACGAAATAGAACGTTGGTTACATATTGTAACACCGGATTCTATGAGTATAGGCACAGCCCTATAAGCTCTGGGCCTCACTGGTTCCTAAATGGCTGAAGAAAAAAGCTATTTGGGAGCTGATTACTCAGTCTCACCGTAATTTAAATGGACCGGGGGTGAGGCCCACACACAGCAGGTGGGCGTGGACTAAAGTTTTTTCAGTGCAACACTGAGCACATAGGGATAAACCCAACAGCGACAGCCTTAAAGGGCTACGCCTATACTCAAGGTCGGATTATCCATATGAGCAACTGCCCAGGGGCCCATGATCTCTAAGGGGTCCATGATCTCTAAGGGGTCCATGATCTCTAAGGGGCCCAGGTCAGTGAGGGCACAAGCAAAATATCTGGTTATCTCCTGCTTTACTTGGAGCCCTGATGCACAGAAACTGCTGTGCTTCCGCTGCATCTGTGCAGCCCCGCCTCCTCCCAGCAGCTGCAGCTGCTCAGTTTTTTTCTATTGGATCCTCGACTGTGCGACCTGTCAATCAACTCAGAAGGCGTGTCAGTAACTGTCCAATCAACGACCTCAATTTGTCCCAAAGGTGAACGCCCCTTACCTGCTGACAAGCTCATCAGTTTTTTTTCTTGAGGAACTTCTTGTTTTAATTAAAACAATAAGTTTGTATCTGTTGTGAGATGATTTTAGCAGTTTTGCAGATTTTTAAATGTACTTAAGAATAGTACGACTTAAAACCGCTCATCAAACAGAAGGAAGGATTATTATCACTCCTGTTACTACAGTGAATGTGGTACTTTGCTATAAGTCTGACTATATTAATGGCATCAGAGAAAACTGAGCTCAAGTTATCACATAAAGTAAAATGTCATCAGCATCAAAAGAAGGAATGTTAAGTTTGAGATTAATCCAGTTTCTGATGTCTGACCAAACACTTTGTATTGACATTAAAAAAAAAATTGCTTGAGGGATTCATCTTGTGATTTAAAAAAGACACACAAATCCACCTCAAATTTAAATCTTCTTTGCAGAAACATAACTACAGCATATATCTTATTTATTATTTTAAAATGATTCTCCTTCACTTTAGGAGATTTAGGCCATTTGACAAATTTAGAATGAGCAGAAGTCATTCTGGTTTTATGATTTATACTGGGAGGTTTCTTGAAGGAATCTTTATTATAATCAGTAAATCATTTGTTGCAAACATTCATTGATAATATTTCATTTCAAGTCAACTAAGTTAAAATCATTTAATTTGGGCATCTAATCAGCACCTTTGAATATTTTTAATTCATTGAATCAGCTGTTGGTCAGGTTACTTCTTGTTGTGCCATTAGCTCTAAAATAGTTACTGAATCAAGTGTTTACTTCCATCCATCCGGGGGGTATCAGCCTAAGTGGGGAGGTCCAGACTTCCCTCTCCCCAGACACTTGGACCAGCTCCTCCAGGGGAATCCCAAGGTGTTCCAAGTGTTTACTTGTGTAGGTAAAACTAGATGTTAAACAACCATTAAAATACACCAGAATGCAGGAAATGGCATCTACTTTATTCAAAATGTTCTGAGGGAGGACCACCAGACCCCCCCATCACTGTGTGTCCCCCCCATTATAAATGCTTCTGACACCAGTGGCCAACATGTTACTAAACAAGTACACATATGGTGTCATGTGGTGTTCAAAGTACTTTCAACTTAATTCAGTCTTGATGATTTGTGTCAATGAGCATTTGGAGTTTTATACATAAAAATACACTTGATAGTTAGAAATTTAAGTATATTTACTGTATATTATGGTAATTTATTCTGTATTTTGCCAGATTATGGTGATTCTGGGGCCGTGATGATGGGGCCCTTAAGTAAGATTGTTGCCCAGGGTACAGTGAAGTGTTAATCAGGCCCTGCTATACTCATAGATTCTGGGGTTACAGTACGTAACCAACGTTTGCCAGATATGGACAACCTGACCATGTAATCACAGACTGTGGACCTCAGTTTGACAATGAAACATTCAGGAAATTTGCAAAAAAATGTTTTTTTGGGGGGGGAGATTTTAATCAGTTTATTGACAAACGTAATAGAATAAACGTGAGTATACATTAATGACACCACACAGACCATTTTGCCTTGAAAAAACATTAGGAAGTTAATAAAAATGTTTTCAGTTTTAACGAAGGTACAAGAAATCTGAAGGATATAAAAACAAAACCATGGCTCACTTTTCTATTCCAGTTTAACACTGACATTACTTGTAATGTGGTTAAATGTAACCTTTGAGAGTGAAACATGCTTTGCTGCAGTTGTAAACTGGGAGAATAATTTCAGGAATAAGGATGAGTGTAATCGGCCAGTTATTTCCTAAATAAAATCCTGATGGGAAAACTGCGTCAGAATTCATGAAGACCAGACAGTAAAGAAAACACTATCTGGAAGATTTGGTTGAATCAAATTCGTACAAGTAATCTCTAACATTATTTACAGTCTTTAAAGCATTTTATAAAAACTCAGAACAGTAGTGTATAAAAAGAAAAATGTCACACTGAATCTGGCTGACAGTTTTCACAGACAAACACCGACTTAGATTTTAAAGGGAACCAAAAGCTTTTCATTCGGACAGTAACTTTATAAACCTCCCATTTGTTTTCAGCATTACTCTGAGCAAAAGTTCAAAACTAAAAAAAGGTTTTTAAAGTGCTTAAAGAAAACTAGGCTGACAAAAAAGTTTATTAAAACCAAAGTGAATCCTCATTGCTTTCCATGTGTCATCGTGCGCTCAGTAATACTTTGGCACTTGTGTGTAGTCCTCTGTCTGGATGTTCCTGCACAGGCAGACAGACAGAATCATCCCCAGCAGCTGCAAAACACACACATTACAGTTAGTTTACAAATGTGTGACACTTTAACTCCTAACAACACATCGACATTACTTTAGATGAAAACATGCAACTACCGTAATTTCCAGAATATAAGTCACTACTTTTTTTTTTTACACGCTTTGAACTCCGTGGCTTATACAATACTGCGGCTAATTTATATATATTTTTTATTTCTTCTTGATGGACTAACGAGCTTCGTGCCATCAAAAACATTTAGCATGGTCACGCCCGTCACACCACAGCTGCTCGTCTCTCTTGGGGGGTGGGTCCTTGTGACTCAATGAGACTACCTGTATAAATAAAGGTAAAAAAAAAAATCTGACCAATGAAATTACCAAACTGGTCACAGTGATTTACACCATTCTCTCCGCCCCTCCCCACTCATTTACTCATTCATGCAGCTCTATACTAGATCTCTACAAAGCTAATTGAACAAATCACTCTAAAGAGACTAATCAGTGCTTTATCACATTCATACACCGATGGGACACACATCAGAGGCAATGAGGGGTTCAGTGTCTTGCCCAGGGACACTTCGGCATGTGACTGCTGGTGGATTCGAACCCCCAACTCTTTCATTGGAGGACGACTGCTCTAACCACTCAGCCACAGTCTCCCATGCAGCAATCAATAACTTCCTGTTAGGCTAGTGTTTTTTTATTTTTTAACCAGCTGTGTTACCGGCACTGTTCAGAATATGTATTGCAGCATTCTGCTGTGGTGGACTGCTGGTCACATGACCTCAGGGAGGGATTATGGGTCAAATGTATTTTCATTGTTAATTGTTTCTGTTAGCTGCTCAGCAGTGTTCAGTGATTAATCTGTTTTTGTTAGTTTGTGTTCATTATGTATTGTTGTAATGGTGGTATTTTGTATTATTTAAAACAGTAATTGTTAGAAGTTACTGCCAGCTTTAAAACCAACCCTGACACTTTCTGCTGTCAGTGGGAAAATAGTTCCTTATTTCTAATAAGTCCTTTAACGAGAACAAACATCAACCTAAAGTTTTTTTCATTTAACTAAAATCAACTATAAATATAAATGTTCCAGCAATAAAACATTATTTTAGTGTTTGATGTGGATTATAAAATTATTTTTAATGATTCAAAGATTAGTCTACAGGTCCTTCTAAAAAAATTAGCATATTGTGATAAAGGTCATTATTTTCCATAATGTAATGATAAAAATGAAACTTTCATATATTTCAGATTCATTGCACACCAACTGAAATATTTCAGGTCTTTAATTGTTTTAATACT